CAGAATGAATCAAGCAATTAAAATGCTCTAGAAAGTTAAAAAATAGGGCTAAACAGACAAATAATTAAAAAAAATTTAAAATGAAATATTATCAGGAAGATTGAATGCTTAATAAAATTTTCTATCTTCAGGAAAATCATATTAAAAAGTGCTCAACTTGAAACTTGCTCCTCATTTAAATGAATTAATCAAAATCTCTGATTGCTATGGGGCTTTTGTGGCTTTAAAGCTGTCCAAATTAGTTAAAAATAGTTTCTCATTGTTCCTTTTGAGAAATGAAAAAGAATTAAATAAGCACTTCAAATCATACAAAGAGTATGAATTAATAATTCCTCAGACTTCTTAAATTATATTCGAAAAGCTTATTAAAAAGTATCATAGCCTTCAATTCATTTTGTTTGATGAGCTAACATTTTTTGCCTTTACTAATTTTACTGAATTGGACATATTTTAATTGGGGTTAGAGACATACTAATAGGAGTATCAGAAGAATTAATAGGAATAATAACAAAAAAATAGTAATTCAATCATAATTGGTAAGATTCCAAATCCTGTTGAAATCTTAGAAATCCAGAAAGATATTTATTGAATCTCAACACTGACTATCCAGCAACAGCGAAAAAACATAACTTAATTTTTATTGCTGGAGGTTATTTTGATGGTACATGGATACGAACACTACATATTTATGACCTAGCTTCAACAACAAAAAAACCAATATTTTTGGATTATTTCTAAAATAGCTTAAAAAATCCTACTTTGGTTTGCAATAAAATAATGTCCAATGGGTTATAAATGGGAGGAATTTAATTTTTTTATTTGGGCTAAGCTGATTAATTTACGAAAATAAACTACCACTTTGAGCCAAATTAAAGTTCATATCATGATAACAATATTAATAAGCAAGGAAAGGCTTAGCATGAATACTTAGGAACCGATTCAATTAACAGGCAACTTGAAGATTTGAATTTCACTTATTCATACCCAGCTATGTTTATTTACAAACAATATCACCTAGTATTATTTGGTGGTATAAACGTATTCACTGGTAAAACTACCAATGAAATGCTTCTTATTGACATTTAGGATTTTAAGAACCCAATAGTTAAGAAAATTAAACCAGAATTTAATGATGGATAGAAATATAATTATAAAGATTATTTCTTTGGCAATTAAATATCTAAATCTTAAGATTCTTTCAGCATGAAAGGGGAACATGGAATTTATGAAGCAAAAATCAAACTTCTACCTATTACTAAACAGACTGTTTAAGTGAAGAAAATATTCAACTTTTGACTTTTAAGTTTTACCAATTGAGAATAAATAAAATCACTTTGATAGATTCTGCCAACTGTGTCATGAGCTAGTATTTTCTTAAATATTGCTTAAATATCCGTCAATACAAGGGATTAATGTTGTTCACATTTTAATAATTATCCTTCAAACTTATAATTCTATAAAATTAAAAAAGCATTTCATTGATAATATTAAGTTTAAAATATGAATTAGTTTTTTTCTAAACTCTAATACTTTTCAGTTTAAGGGGTTTTGGGGTTTTGGGG